GGCCGGGGCCAGCACAGACCTCGCGCTGCGCACCCGGGGGTGGGGCCGCCTAACTGCCGCGCGCCTGGGGCCGGCGCCACCCATGCGCCCAGGGGCTGGCTCCGCCCGTGCGCCTGGAGGCGGGGCCAGCCCTGATCACTCGGTGGGTGCACAGAAATGGCCCAACGGGTGCCATGGCACCCGCAGGCACCGCGTTGAGGACCACTGCTCCAGATCATACAGTGTGTAATATAGTCAGGAAAACCTGCCAGCTGGCTGAGTATGACGACTTTCATCTTCACCATATATACCTCTAGGGTAGCTACTTCATATCTAAGACAACATCCCTTGATCCATAGAAACCTTTCATGTGCTTTGATAGGTTTTTACAACCTCAGCAGCATTCACCTGAAGTCCATCCGTTTTGAAGCTTATATCCTCAGTTCATGGACGCTCTCATAGTTTTTCTAGATTCACCTTGTGGGGAACAGTCTCACCATAGCTTCATTTCCTCCCTCTTCTCTAACACCTGGACTCCATTCTGAAAGAGGTCACTAAGAAGAGAACCTCTCCGCCTAACATGAAAGAATTGTTTTGAGACGTGCCAGTCATTCTGTGAGCTGGAATTGAAGTCTGAGCTCTTTACTGTCCAGTCCAAGGCAGGGAGGAATCCTTTCTAATAACTCCTGTCTTGTCTTATACATCTTGTTTTTTGGGGGGGAGGAAGGGGAATGAACCAATCTCCCTGTTTTTTCCTCAGTGTTTACCTTAGGGGGGACACCCTTGCACGAGACAACCTAGGAGTCTGTCAAAGGACTGCTATAATCTTTTCCACCTAAACATCAACTCTCTCCTCTTTGATCCCAGTGAAAATAAGTTACATCTCATGTATAAGTTACAAACATGTTCTTGACCACGGATCAGTGCTTTGTGGTTAGCAAATAATTAAGAAAATTGAGACCGATTTTTAGCTTAAAGAGGCTAGATCAGTTTTTGAAATACTAAAAATTAAAAATGGAACCTATTCAACATTTGCAGCCATAGATCTAGGGTCTTTTAACTTCCCCTTCCTGTAGGGCAATGGATCTTCAGAATCACCTGCTTCCAAACAGTGACAACTGCTTGGATGTTTGAAGTTTTTTCATTCTAATTTTCAACTGAAAATATCAGAAATGTCACGTAATTTTCATTGAGAATTTAGGTATATACACTGGGAATTCTGAGAAGCCTTTATTAACTGGATGAGAGCAATGAATCTTCACAGAACAACTCCCCCACCTCCTTCCAGGAAAAACAACAACTCAAACAAAAATCCCTGAATGTTTTGGTAGGTGTTGGAGTTGGTCTGAATAAAAATTAGTTTGTTACTTTTTTGGTATTTTGATATCATAAGCCTACTGGTTTTACTGTCATACATTATGTTCTGGGAAGGAGAAGGAGACTGAACCTGCATTTCTCCCATTAAAACCTATCAAGGGAATAAAAATCCTTTTAACCATTCTTTATATATAATTAAAAAAGCAAAAACAAAATAAAAATAATCCTATTTTTTCTTAATAGGTTTCCTATCAATATAAAACCATTTATTGTATGTTTGACCATAGGGAGCAAGAACCTTTCCTTTGGTTGTACAGAGAAATTACTCCTAACTAAAGAAAATTTGATTTGATAGTTTTTCTGCTTTAAAAAAAAAATCCTTCACAGCCAAGGAAGGCCAGCTTTTTAGCTCACTTATTCAGAA